AACGTTTTTTTTATTCCTGTTTCACAAATTTGAACAATGATCATTGGATTTTCGTCATAGTTAGACGTGAAGGAGTTGAATTACGTATCACAACATGGACACAGATTGAGCTCCAAAAATCACAAGGAACCACAATGCATTGAAGGTACTGCATGTTACAATGTCTCGTGAACTGTTGCTTGCTATCTTGCAATGTGGTTGGATTTGATGTTGCCGAGCTTTTTATATGCTTTCGTTCAATGTTTAATCCTCCAAACTTTAGGTGGAGGTGATTTGGACAAGTATAAGGATCGCCTTCACTTGTGGCAAGTGTTTTTTAGCAATCCATATGAATGGTGGGATAACAGGGAAGGTAAGAAGAATCCGAGACAACCAGATTTCAAGCACAAGGATACGGGCGAAGCCCTCTGGCTGTCGCGAAATGATCCTCCGTGGATTGAAAAACAACTCCAGTTGCTTGATGAGAGAATGCCAAAACAAAGACACGGTGAACAACGTTCCTGTGTGTCAGAGTGGCAGTACGATGAGTAGGTGCAGGCCTTGAAGTAACAGATTGTTGTATTGGGGCCTTACGACATGCTTCTACCAAAGATGGAGCGAATATTTGAGTTTACGATATTCGGATACAATTCGATTGTGCAGTAGGTGCTTTAGTTAATCAGATGGTGCCTATTGTAGAAGCATCTCCAGTTTCCTGATTTGCTTCGAATGTTGTGTTTTAATCTTTTCTCCAGTTTACTGAATGTACTCATTAGCATATTATGGAAGAATGCATACAAGAAAGAATAGGGTGCACCGCACATTGGAATGGGCCCTTGTAAAAATTTTACCGGAAATTTCAATCCAGTCAAAAGAGAAAAGCACCACACACCAAAATTAAATAAAAAAGTATACAATCATTCTCAAAGTGAGTAAAAAATTACCAAAAAGTGAGACAAAAATTAGTAAGATGTGCACATGAAGTTAAATTACCATTAATATATATATGCCTAGCTCGGGAGTCACCACACTGTCCTGTCCACATTATTATGAAGAAGAAAAATAAGCAAATGAAACAAATCTCCCAATTGTAATACTGCTCTGTCCTCATCCTCACCACAAACCACAACACACTCATGTATTGTTTTCAAGTTTTTTAACCTCCGAATCCTTTTGGCAACTACTCCAGAACAATACAATGATCAACATAAAGGTGCTTTAAGCTAATCAACTTTCCGATGTTATCAGGTAGTTTTTTCAAGTGAATGACATTTATAAAGGCGCAACAAGGTATACAAAATGTACAACTCACATATCCTCAAATGATAACTGTGTGACAAATCAAGATGCCTCAAATGTGCCAATTTACCAATTTTTTTTGGTATTCCACGGATGAAATTGCCATTCAAATTTATTGTCCTAAGACACTTCAGTTGCAAAATGAAATTTGAGTCTATCGTATCAATGGATGAATTAAGAGTTGTGACCGTATGTAGATTTTTGCAATTGTAATATGCCTTAGAAGGTAGGAGTGGCTCATAAAGTTTCAACCTTAAGGTCAAGAGGTGAACCTTTTCATCCAAAACCTCTATTTCATTGCCAAGACCCTCAGCCTCTCGATAATCAAATATTCGTTCTTGGTGAGAGATTGCACAAAATTATGAACAACATCATGCATTTTGCAACCTATAATTTTATCACTCACACTATCTTTCTTCAAATCTTGAAAAACAGATCGTGCTACTAATTTATCAAAAAATGCTTCACCAATTTCTCCGTTATCCTTATTCCCTTTTGAATTAAGATCATCTTGTGTCATCCAAAGATTAATCAAATACTTTCTCTTAAACTTATAATCTTGAGGAAAACCAGCACAATACAAAAGTCAACATTTGACTAGTGGGGCTAAATAATAATAACTTAGTAATAATGGTTGTAAAACTTTTTGCTCAATCTCTTCTCAATCCCATATCTTACTGTTCAATACTCCTAACCATTCCCTCTTTGTTCTCTTATTGTGCATGAGACTGCCTAAAGCTTTTGCAACAAGAGGCAAACCCTTACATTTTTCTACAATTTTTTTACTAATATTTTCAAACGCCTTAGACTCATCTACTTCTCTATCAGCAAACGCCATGTGATTGAAGATTGATAAACAATCTGTTGGAAACCTATGTTTATGTGGGACTGCCAGTCCCACATCGCCCATACACCTTTTACAACAACTCTTTATAAGTGAGTTCACTCACTTATAGTTTGAATTGAATTGGGCCAAAGCCATGGACCTTGGGCCTTAGACTTGGAGAGTTTGGGTGTATATATTAAATGTCAAAGATGGGCCTTGGGCTCGGATGGACGAAAAACCCAAGTATCATTTTTACGTTTTTGATTTTTTTTCATTCAGTTTTTTTTTTTCTGAAATGATAAAACCAATCACATGAACGGTTGTAACCGTTCTTAAAGATAAAAATGAACAGTTTCAACTGCTCATTTTATGCCATTATATATGGTTGTCGGATCAGAAACAAAGACATAAATCTTCCATCAAATCCCTCACAGTTCACAGAGAAACACCACAACCAATTCGCTAAGAATCCAAGTTCGAGTGCAAGAACTTGGATTAGATAGTTGTATCCTGCAAGATAGACGTCCATCGAACTGCTGCACTGGTGTAGGGACGAATTTCTGTCTTAGGAGATTGCTTCTGCAAGCCTCTATCTTCAAAGAACAAGTTAGTGATTTGTGATTTTATATATAATTACACTAAGTGTTTATGTTTTAATATATTGTATTTGTTGTTGAGTTTTTCTATTCGAAATAAAACTGTGCAAATTGTTGTATAGTATATACTTAACATTTGATTGGTTCTAACACAATCTCCTTCACTCAACTCTTCCAAATTAATCATATCACTTGTTGCTCTTATCATCTCAACAACCTCATGCTTGTGGTAACCAATATTCTACTACCATGAGCACCACTTTGAATTAGTGATGCCCTTAATCGTTCCCACTTTTCATTGTCGTAGCTCCACACATTATATAGGATAAGGAGAAACCTTTTGCCCTAGGTAGATCTTAACATGCATTGCAAGACATAGTCCAACTCATTTGAAATTGGGGCGCCAGCACCGCTTATGGATTTGGCAATCTTAATCTCATCAAAAGGGCCCACACTCTCTTATCAAAATAAGCTTTAACCTTGCCATCATTATAAACTAGTTGGGTTAGAGTTGCCATTCCTCCCATCCCTTGAATAGGGATGCTAAGGATGTTGGAACCTATTGGAATCTATACTTCTCTCATTAGGATTTTGAGTTTGGCTGAAACTGGAATCAGTTAGAATTAATATTTGAATAAGTTTTTTTCCTTTAAAGTAGAACAATAAGGTTAAACATGGGCATGCAATTTTGTCAAGCAGTTTCTGTGATAGGTGGAAACGGTTGTGGTTACACGTCTATAAAATGGTTTAGTCCTTGCTCAAGAGGAACACGTTCTTTTAGTAACTAGCCCTTTTCTAGTGAGAACATAAGGTCCCCATCGAGTAGAAGACTCTTCCTCGATCATTCAGTAATAGCTTCATCAGATTTGCGTGCTCTTCGTCCCCTGTATTAGGTTGTAATCTATGCATGTGGCTAACCATAAATTCAAACAAAGGAGCCCCCTCCGATCACTCAACAACTTTGTTATCAGAATGTCTTTTTTCTTTTCTCGATCAAATACCTCTGACATGACAACAAAGACGAAGTCTTTTGTGTGTCGTTCAAGTAATTGTTGAATGCCTCGTTCTATGTGTTGAAACTCATACTTTTTTTCTTTGCTCATTAATGGCACTTGGCGTACCATTCAGATCTTTTATCTTAAGTGCAATGTCATGACGGAGAATTGAGCGCCAATGGTGGTGGCTTAAAGTTAGTTAGAAAAAGTATCTTCAAGGAGACAAAACAGATGGAGCAGAAACTTGATTCTGGAGATGTACATATGTCATTCATTTCGTTCTGGATTCTGTTAGCTCGTCGATTATGTCTTCATCATCGAGATTTTACCGAGGTTCCATCGCATTGCATCACCGGATGAAAATGACCCCATATCCTGGATGTTACCTGTCTGGTGTGACATGCGGTTGCTTGACGAAATTCTTCGACGGTTGCAAACAAAGATATCACTTTATCAGTTATTATGCGATGAGGTTGCAAAAATAAATTGGACTGTTGGGCTGATAGTTCTGTAAATGCATGTCAAGTCTGATAGTTCTGTAAAAATTATATCATAAATTAATTTATATTTAAGTTGGTACGGTTTGGTTTCAATTAATTTTTGAGAAGTAAAAAACGGAACCGAAATCCGGCCAAACCGGTTTGGTTTCTTGACCGGTTTGAGTTTTTCAATCAACACAATTTTTTAATCCTTTTTTTTAAACGTTCGATTCATGGTTTGACGGTTTTTATGCCCACCCCTACTTAAGGGTACATCCTCTTTTCAGCTTTAATGATACTCATTCAAATTTAAATGCTTCAAAAATGGTTTAAGAATATGCGGAGATTTCTTGCTCATATTGTACAGCACCTCCACACCCAAAGGCAAATTAGTAACGCTATTCGATGCTCCCGGCCCCTCGATAGAATACAAAATGGTTTAAAAATATGCGGAGATTTCTTGCTCATATTGTACAACACCTCCACACCCAAGGAGACTTCGGATCTCTCCCGTCAAATTCACCCAATTCATTAATTCAGATCTTTGAAATTTGATTCAATGACTACAAACATAAGGTCTATTTAAAAGATAATAATTTTAACTGTTAGATCAAATTTCAAATGTCTGTAGTAATTAATTAGGTGGCTTTGGTACGGGAGATCTGGAGCCACACGACACCCAAGGCAAATTAGTAACGCTATTCGATGCTCCTAGCCCCTCTATGCAATAAAAAATGGTTTAAGAATGTTATTAACTTTCTCCCCATTATATAAGAGTTCATGTGTCACTATATGATAAGATCATTTATTTTCTTTTTCACAAAAACTTATAACTTGCAACCCTCACATTCTACCAACAGAGGAAGTCTTGAATTTCTGGTAAGCTTCTTACTTACTTACTTGAGTGTTGGGGTTTGTAATTTGTAAATTTTGATTTGATTTTGTTAAATTGATATATTGCAAAAGTTTTAATTGATTGTCAATTTTCTTTTAATTATGATTATTGTGAATTGGTAATATTATCGATGCATATGTTATTTTGGGTTAATATTACACTTTGTGTATGTGAACAATTTCATTTTATTTTTCAGTTTTTTTATTTATTAAGGAGTGTGATTAATTTTTAAAATTTTAAAAAGAGTATGAAATAATGATGGTGGAACAATTTCTCTTAATAAGTACATAATTACATAACTACTGTTTGTGCTTCTTGTGTAAATATTGTGTATCAAAAGTGAGGGTAAAATAGGAACAATAGGGATATAATTGTCATTTTCTCAAAAGATACAAAATTACTATTTTGCCTTCCTTATGTAAGTATTGTGTATCAAAAGTGAGGGCAAAATAAGAAAAAAGTGACAAGGAGGGTTCTCTTAATAATAGTATAGATTATGTTTTTGTTAGTAGTTTTGTGGAAACTATCTGTTTGTATTTTTTTTAAAACATTTGTAAGAGATCTCTCCTCACATGAAATCCTTGCTTAGCCACTGGATTAGTCATTAATTTTTTTATGGAGAAATTAGGTTATGATCCATCATTTTTCTATTCCATTAATTGTAACCTTATTCCTTTTTAATTTTTGATCAAGGCACTTTGTTTTTTATCCATGTTATTATTTCATTAATAAAATATTTACATGTTAGCATCTGTAAATTTAATAATTTGTTCTTCAATCAAAGTTCAAATTAGTAAAGTTTCAGTCTAAGATTTTGGTCAACTAGGGATTGGAACCAAAAATTGACTTTTTTTATTCTTAAAAATTAAGCAAGAACTAATTGGATTGGAAGGAATCAACTACCTCCATAACTCATCTATATTTATGGGTAATGATAGAAATACTAAATTTTTAAATCAAATTTTGTAAACCAAATGATAATAATGTGGATGTTGATGATTGAATTATTACTTTGATTAATGTGCTTGTTTTCTATTGGTGACACGTCATTTGATTTACAAATTTGGTTTAAAAATTTGTCCTCCCTAACATTATCCTTTTATATTTGCTAGAATAGTACTATAGTTATCCTGATCAGTAATATGATAGTAAAATGATGAAGATTTGTTGATTGTTATGATGGTAAGGTGGGTTCGGTTCGGTTTTTTGCGAAAATCGAAAACTGAACCGAAATTATTGTTCGGTTCGGTTCGGTTTTCTATCGGTTTGTGTTCGGTTCGGTTTGTATTCGGTTCGGTTTCGGCCCGGTTCGGTTTTTTTTTTTTTTTTTTTTTTTTTTTTTTTTGCTTTTTTCCCCAAGTAGCTTAAAAAAAATATATGAAAACAACTTGCATCCATTTTGTAATAAGTCCTATTTCAACATAATCGTCAAGACTCAAAATAAGCATTCCAAATTTCTAATATAATCATAGTCTCAACTCAAAGACAATGAAAATAAACATTCAATTCAAAGTTTAATTATAATAAAGTGTTCCAAAGTCCAAAGTTAAATAAACATCAAAGTTTAAATCTTCCAAAAGTCCAAACTTAAAATAAACATCAAAGTTCAAGTATTCCACATCTAAAAGACTAAAATAAACATTCCAAATTTCAACTTTCAAGTGCCCCACAATGAGAGTGATCCACGTACTTTTTCAACGACAATTTGCTTGCTAACGCTTGGGTGGCCTAGGGGGCAACATATCACCTTTTTTTGAACTTCCACTTGCCATTTCTACATAGAAGTAATAAAAGAAAAGATACTAATTAAAATGTTATTTAAAATAATCTAACAAAATCAAATGCAATAAAGGTTTAAGGGTTTTGTTAAAAAGATTAAAAAATTAAAAATAACCTCACAAATCCTGGAGGCATGAGGGTTCGAACCCATGCCTCTAGCTTGTAAAGTTTCATTGAAACCAACTTGGCAACAGGTTCTGTTTTGTTATGATTGTATGACTAAACTATTTATAAATATTCAAAAAAATTATATATATATATCGGTTCGGTTCGGTTTCCGAGCCTCAAAAACCGAAACCGAACTGGTCAGATTCGGTTCGGTTCGGTTTGACAATTTCGATTCGGTTTTTTTCAGCTTCGGTCCGGTTCGGTTGTCGGTTTTTTGAACCCACCCCTAATGGTAACTCAGTAATATGTAATAATCATCATTCTCTTGTATTACAATCACAACGGCATATCATTATCAGGAGCTGGGAAATGGAAACAAGCAATGAAACTGCTCCCAACGACATAGAAAACCAGTACACCCCATTAGCAAATTCGATGAGAAAAGAGTTCACCACCCTGTCTCCCATGTCCTCTTCATGTTGTATCTACAGAGTTCCTGAGCGTATACGGTGTGTGAATGAAAAGCTATACACGCCTCAGGCTGTCTCGATAGCCCCGCTTCACCATGGCAGGAAAGGCTTAAACCCCACACTGGACGAGCACAAACAGAGATACCTGAAAGATTTTATGGATCGGACCAAAGTAAGCCTGGAGGACCATATAAAGACAATAAAGGACCAAGAAGAGAGGTTGAGATGTTGTTATGCAGAACCTATTAAGTATAATAGTGATGATTTTGTAAGAATCATTCTAGTGGATGCCGCATTCACTATCGAGGTCCTATTGAAGGACAGATACTATGAATTGGTCGACGAAAATGATCGCATATTGAACAAGCCATGGATGTTACTGGACATATGGAAAGATATGTGGTTGATTGAAAATCAGCTGCCATTGTTCATTCTTGAGGATCTTTTTGAAGCATGCAAAACTTCACTCCCTTCTAGTTCTCACAACATTACTTCAATAATTAGTCTTTCTTTCGAGTTCTTCAAACATCTACTGCCGGTGGAGAAATTAGATGACAACATGGAGACTTCCAAATCAGTGGCACATTTTGTTCCTGGTATTCTGCACTAAGATTCCATCTTGCTCCTGGTATTCTGCACCCCATATCTCCAAGACAGACAATGTGTGATCACCAACTACAATTGCCCGGATATCATTCTGGCCGCCCTTGGGGTACATAATTTCCTTAATTTGCAGACCATATTCTCCTTCCCCCCTTTCAATAAATCCAGGGGGTTGAACCATGTAAATGTCTTCTCGAAGATCACCATTGAGGAAAGCCGTTTTAACATCCATTTGATGCAACTCCGGATCAAAGTGTGCACAACAGTCAGTGAAGAGATGTCTCATGCATGATAACCATCATTTATGGTTTAACAGAAAACATAAAGGTGCATTAGCATTCTGCAGATTACAAAATAACCGCAGATAACACATAATCGAACACCCAAAGTCTAAATTACTGCAGAATAGTTTCAATTCGATTGAATCCATATAGTTTTGTTATATCAAAGTCTTATCCTTTAAGACCTAACATAAACCCTTGACTCGATATGGAGAAGGACTTTTAAGCAAGCAAGAATAAAACTTTGCAATTTATCCGAGGCATCCGAGGCATGAGGCTCCTTAACTTGGCTCACATCTGCGAAAATTTGAGCAACTGAGATAAGCAAATCCCTGTGCCGTGAAAACTTGATATCGAATTTGGTACGTGCAGATGAATAATTACCTAAAAACGCATCATAAATCAATAAGATGTGCATGAGAAGTTAAATAATCATTACTAATTTGATATATATAAAAGAAGAAAATAACCTTTCCAAAGAGATTAATGCATATTCCTACCTCGCAAGTCACCACTTGATCCGCATTGCTCATGTCCTTTGAAGATCATATGAATTCTGAAGAAGAAAAATAAGCAAATTAAGTTTGATGATAGCATTTGTAATTGATACATAGATAAATGAGTAAATAAGACAGATAGAGCTCAATTACATGAGAAGTCAAATGTTGATTTTGATGTTTGGGATGTGAGAAATCTTGGGCCACTCTTCTCCACTGCCTTGTTCACAACGCTTAGAAAGAGTTGAACATTTGTAAATGGTAAGATCCTGCAGTGGAGTGTTGCAAAGGAAGTCTGGCAGCGTTTTTATGTGATGGCAGTCACGAATTTCTAAGGAGGAAAGGCATGGCATGATTGAAATTTCAAAATCCTCTTTGTTCCACCCTTCCACACCTACTTCCCACTCTTCCAACGCTTCAAAGACATCATCCAGTTGGGGGCAAGTGGCGCCTGAATGCACACGAATGCTTAAAGATTCCAGATTTTCGTGCGGTCGTAAGACATTCAGTATTTCAACGGTGCTTGATGTCTGCTTGTATTGGACATAGTAAGAATTAATTCCGAGATGAAAGAGTTGCTTCATGTGCCACAATTTTGCTTTCTCAATCTCACTCTCATCTTTCACATTCCCCTTTAATATTATGCTGAGACGGCCCTCAAGGTTCAAGCCTCTCAGATCTCCCAGTTGTAATGCTTCTTTGTCCTCATCCTCATCACAAACCACAACACACACTTCAATTGTTCTCAATTTTTGTAGTCTCCGAATCCCTTTTTCAAGTGATCTGCAATAATATAGGCGCAAGGTATACAAATTGTACAACTCACATATACTCTCCAGCAATATCTTCAAACCATCATTCCTTGACAAATCAACATGCCTCAAATGTTTCAATTCACCAATTTCCTTTGGGACTTCAATTATGCCATTTTTACGCAAATTTAATGTCCTAAGACATTTTAGTTGCAAAATGAAGTTTGAGTCTACCGTAGAAATGATTGAACCATACATTGAGTTATGTGACGATTCCAATTGCCAAGCCAATCAATTTTTTTTTTTTTTTTTGGTCAGTCAAGTAAAGTAAATTGAATGGTAGTTGTGCTGTCCTATCCATTGACTTGGAACTTGGAAGTTTGTTTTGGGTAAGGGATCGATAGGCATTGCATATTAGGTGAGGCCCCGTGAGGGAGCCAATCATCCCAGAAAACAAGGGGGCGTTTTGGTCAAATGAAATATACCAAAATTTTAAGCTAATCACCAATTGTAGTCCTCTTTTTTCTCTCTACGCAGAGACACCGGGACAGAAAAGTTTCTTTAGTGTAACTCACTATGAGTTGAAGGTGCACAACAGCTCTGTTCTTTCCCTAGCAACTCTCAAGAGGAGAAAAACCACAAATGAGTTGTCTAACCACGTCATTCTTAAGATACCTTATTTTGATACGACACTACCTCACTGCGTATGTGACATAATTAGGGAGCCTTGCTGAAATTTAGGGGTTCCCCCTCAAAGTGGAAATGCCCTTTTCATTTTTCTTCCTTTCCAACTATATCAACAACTATGGGGCAAAGGGAAGAGGCAATGGCCTTTTATCAAGGGTTTTTGTTGTTTTAAGTCTGTTTCTCATGCCCTTTGGGCTTCTAGGATACATAGTTCTATATATATATTAATAACAAACCCTCACATCATGTACATAAACAGTTAAAGAACAAGAAATTAGACCTGCTCATAGTTTATGACCATGTTCTGTTGTATTTAATAGAGAAATCTGCTAGGGATGTACTCCCGTATCCTAACAGGTAGACTATAAAATTCCTCATTTCTAGCATCTCCTTTCCTGCTCTGGAAGGGACGCCACCATGCAAGTCCTCTGTCGTCAACTGCATACTTCGCGTCAAGCGTGTTATCCAGCAGCGTCCCCACGATTATTGCCACTGTCGGGCTCGATGAGAAGATGGTGTTCAATATGTCATCAAACTGCAGCCATCAAAATGATGTAGCATTTCAGATAAACGAAACCATCAATAAAACATGTAAACAAATCCAAACACCGTATGTAATAATTGGCCTATGTGTAACGTACCCATCCACCGTCCGTTTTAACTGGCCCGACACCATTCGGGCTGGTATTCGAGACAAAATATTGAGGTATTGAAATCCCAAGAAACAGGGAAAGACCCAAAACATAGATGTTTCTCAAGGAATTATTATTTGCAAACTGAATGAATGTGATCCCAACAGCAGCTGCAGATAAGAAGAAACAAATGTGAGCCCCTTTTGGTGATTAAATGATCCTAAGAAGGTTAGAAATGGTAATAGAATCACTCACCGACAATTCCAAATAAAACACAGTACATGGCAGCAAATATTGGCAAAGGAATCGATGCAAAGAATGCGCCAAACTTTCCTGAAAGACGTAAAATTAACACTGTCAAAACACAATGCGGTAACCCCATGGTGTGACATGTCAAACAGAAGGAAAGAACGGACCAAATATAGCGAAGAAGAACATGAAACCAGTTGAAATCTGCACCACTCTCCTGCTCCCTATGTGTGTCAATCCAAGCAGGCCAACATTTTCGCTGCAACACTTACCAAAAAATGAGTGAATTCCTATTCTTTGTTAGCAAACTTTCTTCCGTTGATATCCAACATTTTTGGTAGCTAGCAAGACGTTGGAAAAATTGTCGAAAGGGAATATCAACATATATGTGAAGCAAAAAGGCTTTCTTACACGGATGCAGTGGTACCAACAGCAGCGCCAAAAATTCCTTCAAGCAGCATGCCAACACCCTGCATTTGAACATATGCAACCACATATTATTTAACTATTTTAAAATATGAGGTTGTTTCCCGTTCTTTTAAATCATTCACTGAGATATGAGAAGGGCAAGGGGGAGAGAGGGACAAAGGTGCGGCATGACAATTTGCAATCGCACCTGCAGGCCAATACTCTGGCTCACTACACTTGCTGGAGGGGGCGTAGCACCTGAAAGCCGCGCAGCTGCAAAATATGTTCCAGTTGACTGCAAGAAAAGACATTATTCAATGAATCAAAAACTACACACTGAACCAAGTTAAAGATCTGAGATACTATTATCAGTTATGAAATAGTCAAAAGAGCATAAGAAATTGTATATAATAGATACTAGACCTCGGCAGATGTAACAATTGCTGCTCCCATCATCCCAAATACATGGCTCGCTCGGAAAATGGGTGCACCCCACTGAAACGGGTATGGGAATTTAATCCTTAATTTGAAACAACAACAACAACAATGTGTCATGAAAAGGATAGTTTTTCTGAAGGGAATTTATTAACTTTATTACGCAAGAAGAAAGCCTCAATATTTGGACATACTACATACCAAGGAGCAGATGATATAAGGAAAGAGCGATCTGTACGGCAACTTTGTTTAGTCTGCTGTTTAGCATTGTTATAAGCACCAGCCTCGGTGAGGACAGCAGCAAATGACCATACAAGCGCAATGCATAGAAGCAAAGCAAACCTCTCGAGTATGTGATGGGCTCTAGGAAGAGCGCGCCTCAAATACTGCCCAAACAATATTGTCATGTTAAACTTAGAACATTTATTCAAAGAACAAAAAGTGGCAAATCGGATAAAATTTACCTGTTGAGTAATGACGAGCAGGATCAGCATAGGCAGACCAATCTCCACACAGTTAGCGAGCTGTGTACAACAAAAGAAAGTGAGATAAGTGTTTTGATAATATTCTTATGATTGACATGACAGAAATGGATTGTTTTGTTAGAGACGTTACAAGTGGAAAGCCACGTGCGAAAAGACCAAGACCGACTACACAAACCACTGGCGCGATGACGATTGGACTAAAAAATCTGATAGAGCCATAGAGTAGAAGAAAAAAGCCATGACAGTTAGAAAATGATAAAGAAAGAATACATAGAACTTCAGGTTGAGGCTTCAAGTATCACTCTTGAGATAATAATTTAGTACCTTGTGAAGTTCCCCCATGCCTTGCTAAACCCAATGAAGATGTTGAGGAAGGAAGATACAATAAGAGATCCCTGAATCGTTCTCATTGTGACCTCAAACCTCTGCAATCATACACATTCATCATCCATGTATTTTCGTCTCCAAAGTTTGTAACTGAAATTTCTTATAGCAATTTAAGAAGTAAATTCATGTGATCGACTCTTTGAATAACATGTATCGAACTTTATGTACCTCATGTTCACTACTAAAAGTCCGATCAGAGTAATCATTGATGATTGACAACACGGGCAGAGTAAAAGCAAATGACGCAGTCATCACCGTTGGAAGCCTTGTTCCAAGGAATGTTTGAATCAAAGTGTTTATTGCTGACATAAACAGCATCGTCTGAATCACGCGGGCTTTATCACCCTAATCAAAGGGAGAACAAAATCCAAACATTAACATCATGGATTCAAAGCTACGTGTGTGATCCCTAATCTTAACCGGTATGTTATAAACTTTATGGTATAGAGGACATAACTTACATGATCCCCACCCATCTGAGGCACAAGACTACTGGCAATTATAACTATGGATCCAAGCATCACAATATAGTGCTGAAAAGCGAGTGCGAATGCTTCCGCTGTAAAATTCGATCGTTAGAAGCAATTTTGTTGCATTAGATCAAGATTTACCGTGGAAATTCACATTTAAACTTCCTCAATATTTTCGAGTGATATCAATTACTTGTAACTTGCAGGATAAGCTGAACTGGTTAGGGTTCTTGTGAAACATATGCTTATTATTTGATTTGAACTAATTAAACTACTTAAAGATTCGAACACAATATTAGAGAACCGAATCCAAATTAGTAAAAGCGATCTGCAGAATTAGGAAAAAAAAATTAAGACATGCAAACTAGTAAACTAAATAAAAAGCAGTGCCAAAAGCTTGCACTTTTAAACCAACCCCATAAGAAAGACACAAGCTTAATAAACTTTTTCCTGCGGGATTTCAAAAAAATATAGAAACCCAGAAAGAAGAGAGAGAGAGAGAGAGAGACTAACGCCAAGAGGGGTTGGACTGGATACAATACTGAAGCTGGTGGAGTTGCTCAGCTGGAGTCCAAGTAGGACCCCTCGCCGCCCCAAGAGGCATCTGAGACGGCGGAGCAACGACCTGTGGTGGAGGAGGCGGATCAGTTTCTCCCATCTTTTGATTTGCTTTTCCTTCACTCTTCCACTTCCGTTTCTTTTCTCTAAATTTCTGAATACTAAAAGCTTCTTCTTCTTCTCGGTTGAAGCACTAACACTTCTGGCAAACCACCGACACCATAAATATATAAAAAAATCGGGTTGAACTAAATTCTCAACAAAAAATAAGTCTTTGAGATTGGTTTCTACCGAGCAAAGGAAAGGACAGTACGAAAAATATTGAATTAAATGGATGCAAAGAAAGAGAAAGTTCCTGTCTCTCGAATCAAAGATAGAACGTTTTGATTGTCGTGTTCTGAGGAGCATAAGCATTAAATTGTTTATGGGGTCTCCTGCAATCTTCGAGGAACTTCCACTTACTTGCAACGTAGTAAACCGTGAACTTGCTACAATTAGACATTGACTTTGTGATAATAACGATTGTGCCATTCTTTCTTTTCAGCTGGGACCTTTGTGGTGGGGAGAGATGGGTTAATTCCGCGGATCAAAAGCTGGAATTCCCTCTCGTTTTCCTCCCTTTTTCGATGGATTTCTCTTTCTGGTTACGTGGTCTGGGATGGATGTTTTGTGAAAGATGTGGACAGCCATAATAATCTTTATATTTTCACAATATAGACAATTTTCTCAAATTAACATTTGCAAAACGTTGCTTAAATAATTAAATTTTAAGATCATATATCATCGAGATTCTATTAGAATATTATATTTTAGTATCGCTTGTATATATAATGTAAATATCTCATTCTTTTACCACAAGAAGGTTTTTTTTGTAAATATTCAAACTAACAAATTTGTTTTTCAAATATTAATTTGAAAATTTTAAAAGGATGGAATGTACTCATTGCCTTATCAATTTAGACTCTCCCATTCCTATAGTATAAATAAATTAAAGTATTAATATCAGTCGAGAAAAAAATATCCAAAAATATTTACGTTGTTTAGAATGACTCATCCCTTAAATTTGAAAATTAAGAAATTAAGTGAAGATTTAACAAGAAAATGCGATAATAAACAAAAGTTATTATGTTTTTAATATGTTACTTTTCAAAAGGAAGATGATCATCTTCGGATTCAAGATTCTCACATCCTATCCGTTCATCGTATATTGTGCAGCCAATTTTCGTCAGATACTATTTATGTTTAATTTTAAATA